AGAACTTATTGCTGCTGGGAGGGAGAAGTTGGCCTCAGTACCTTCTGGTGGTGCTGGTGTTGCAGTTGCTGCTGCTGCTGCACCTGCAGGTGCTGCTGCTCCAGCTGCAGTCGAGACCAAGAAAGAAGAGAAAGTGGAAGAGCAAGAGGAGTCTGAAGATGTAAGCTTTTCCTCAAACCCTAATTTTGTTACACTGCTTATGTCAGACCTTGACTCCCAGCATTTTTCTTATTTTACTAAAATCTTATCTTCTCTTTACTTGCTTATAATCTATAGATTCCTTGTAGACATGTTCACATTTAATATTTGCATACAGTATGCTAACAATTGTTTAGTGGAACATGGCTGGAACCTGTCTTGGCATTGCATTTATTTTTTTTTTTCCTTTGGTCATAGACTTACCTGATATTCTAATCAACTTGTTGCATCTTATTGCAGGACTTGATGTTCAGTCTTTTTGACTGAAGGAGATGTTGCTTGCTTGGAAATATTCTCTTCTCAACTCAAGCCTTTACTTAGATTCTGAAATAATAAAATAATATTATTTAAAATTGACATTGTAATTTCTTCATCTTTTATATAATAAATTAAATATTTATCAAAAAAAAAAAAACTCAAAACAGTAATTTTCGTTAAAGCGCAACAACACTCAAAAAGGAAGATATTCTTCAATGGCGACTAGGGGAGCGTGAAAATCGAGCAGCGATTTTACCTGGTCAGAGGGCAACCATTTCACCTGGCAATTAGGAAAAACGACGGGGGTTTAACGCGACAATGTGGTCGGTCGAACCAGTAACTCAGCGATTCTGCAGGGCCCCACTCTTACGTCCTTAACACGCGCTAACGCGACGTGTGAGCCAGGCAGATTTTGAGAATATACAGTAGAATTTAAAAGGTCAATGAAATTAAGGTTTTTCAAAGTCCAAGTAAGTAGTATTAAAAAAATAAAAATGTCATCCCAAACCCAACTGCTCTCAGACTTGGGTCAACCTGTTTTGTTTTTGGGGAATTGGTCACACCGCATGACTCACCTCTCCAAAACTTGCCCAATAAAAACTCCTTACGAATTATATCGTAGGTTATTAAGATAATATAACACATAATTATAAATTTATTTAGAGATTCATGTGTATTAATTTTAATTTTTAATATTTTATCATATTAAATATTAATATTTAAATTTAAAAATTAATTTTTAATTTCTAATTTCTTAATCCTAAACATAAAAATAAATAAAATACTTAAACCCTAACTTTGTATTAGTCTCAATTTCTCTCAACTTTTTCTCTTCTCCACTCTCCTTCTCCCTTTGTTCATCTCAAGCTTTCTTATCCTTCTCGTTGGTGGCTCCCTTATCCTTGACCATTAGAAGCACAAAGCAAGAACATCAAGGTTAGTTCTTAATTGCTAATTTATTTTTAATTACTAATTTGTTCATAGTTAATAATTTGTTAATACTTAAACACTAGCTTCGTATCAGTCTCAATTTCTCTCAACCTTTTCTCTTCTCCACTCTCTTTCTCCCCTTGTTCATCTCAAGCGTTCTTATCCTTCTCTTTGGTGGCTTCCTGATCCTTCACCATTAGAAGCATAAAGCAAGAACATCAAGGTTAGTTCTTAATTGCTAATTTATTTTTAACTGCTAATTTGTTTATAGTTAATAATGTATTCCTAATTAATAAAAATCAATTCCAATCCAGTTTCTTTTTATATTTGTTTAGACATTTTGGATTTGCCTTTTGAAATTTAATATTAAATAGGGTTGTCTTTTCTATATAATGCCCTTCTAAATATTAAATAGGGCTGTATTTTTTGTATAATACTTTATAAATAATAAATAGGCACTAAATATTAACATATATGTTGGATTTGTCTTTTGAACTCCAATCCTTCATGTCTCCTCTTTTAATGAAAGGTTAATGCCTTTACAAAATTATGAATTCTAAACATTGCATAGGCATTATTTATTTGGCATATATTTTAGTTCCACCTATGTAATTACTAATCTTGCCCTCTTCTTTTCATGAGATTAGAATGAAAATTGAATCATGAAATGAAAACTAGTGTTTAATAGATTTTTCTAACTAAATAGGTACTTTGTATTAGACTTCTTTAAAGAAAAATAAAGAAAAATAGAGAAAAATATGATATTTTTTATTTTAATTTTAATTTTAAAAAGTTAGGTCCACCCGAATCAATCTGAAACCATGTGGGTGGATCATGGACCTACTCCTTTAACTCAACATCCATGATGACCCAATCCAAAAAACCCTAGATTCGAGATAACCCAATTTGAACCCACCTGATTTGACCTATTCATCATGTTTATATATTCTAATATTATCAATTTTTAAATTTATTTTAATATTATCAATTTTTAAATTTGAATATTAATATTTAATAAGATAGATTTTTAAATTTTGAATTGAGTTTTAATTAAATAAAATGATGTAATTTAATATTAAAACTCCAATTTATTTTAAGAGTTAATTATTTAGTATTATTAAAATTTAAAATTTTTATTTTTATTTTACATTAAAGTCTTTAAATTAGTGTCTTGTTTTGGTAATTATAATATATTATTAAAGGAATATAATTTATTATTAAATAAGTGAATATATTAAATATTATATGAGGATTTTAAGTGAGAAGAGTCAATTATATAATGATATTTTATATTATAAGTTTAGAGATTAGTGCAAAACATAAATTAGGATCCTAACTTATATTTGAAAATTGAAATCTCAGTTCAAAATTTAAAAATTCATCATATTAAATATAGATATATAGATTTGAAAATCAATTGTTTATT